GAGTCTTTTTAAAGTCAATTAGGAAAAGAATGCCTTGATAGACAAATCAGCAAGGAACTTTGAAAAAGCCACATAAAAATAATAAGCACAAATGGCAAAATGAAAAAGTATAAAATAATTAATCACCCTATTAATCAAAAGACTACCTGACTGACAAAGAATGGAAAGAATGATACCTCGTCTGGTAACAGATATGGGAAAATGGAGCATTTTATACACTTCTGGTAGAAACGCAATGGAGTGAAATTTGGCAATACATCTCAAAAACTATTAAAAGGATATATTCCATGACTTATACATATCTTTAGAACATTAGGAAAATATGTACATAAAAGAATGGTTATAACAGCTAATCATTATGGCAAAATATTTGGCAAACGTGTTATTCAGGAAAATCCCAAATCCCAATAGCTTATCTGAGTTAGAAGTTTATTTTCCTGCCATGTAATAAAGTCCCGAGATAAGCAATCCATAGCCAATATTGCAGCTTCATGTCAGTAGTGACCCAGGTTCCTTCTATTTTGTGTCTGCAATCTCTTTAACATGAAGATTTTAGCTTGTGGTCTGAGATAGTTATTTATACTCTGGCCAGCAGGAAGATATGAAGAAGAAAGTTCGGTTCTTCTTTTTAAAGATAGTTCCTAGAAGTTAAACATAACATTTCAGTTTGTCACATGGCCACACCTGACTACAAAAGGAACTGGGAAATAAGCCTTTATTCCAAACAGCACCTGCATAGCTAAAAATAAGGAATCTTGTTACTAAGAAAAAGGAAAGAAGGAATATTAGGGGCAACCTGCAGTTTCTGCCACAGAACCAAAATGTTGACTCATGAATAATTCAGCAGCAAATAAATCATTACATTCAGATAATGAAATACTATACAAGTGGTAAAATGTTGATAAGGATCTATAATCTTCTATATATACTAGTATAAAAGCCCAAGTGACCGTTATGACCAAATGACCGGAACAACCGGTGGACCAGTTGCTATGATGTGCACTGACCACCAGGGGGCAGACGCTCAATGCAGGAGCTGCCCCTTGGTGGTCAATGCATTCCCACAGTGGGAGCTCCACTCAGCTGACTGACGGGAGCCAGACATGCGAGCCTCTCCCGCCTCTGTGGCTGTGTGCTACCGAGCAGTGGTGGCAGGTGCAGCAGGGCCGGGATGAGTGGGGGCAGCACAACACCTGGCCGCCTGCCGCTTCACCCACTACTACATCCCAGAGGGATGTCGGGTTTCTAGTTTCAGCCTGAAACCGGCAGTCCAGCATCCCCCAAGGGGTCCTGGATTGCACGAGGGCGCAGGCCAGGCTGAGTGCATGGATCCGTGCACCAGACCTCTAGTTATTAACATAAAAGAAGATGCACAATCTATTATTCAATGACAAAAGCAGTGCGGGGAATTATGTATAGTATGATTCTAACATCTCTTATTTATCTCTCTAGTTGCCTTTTCATCTTTCTATCTTAAAGAGCTTTTTAGTTTCTAAAAAGAATTTCTAATTATCTTGTTGGTTTTTAAATTTCTAACTATATCGCATTGTTGGTTTTTAAATTTCTGACTATATTGCACTGGTATTTGTTGTGACTGGGTAGTGGTCACCCTCTAGTAATCTGTTTTCTCTAATTCTTGGGGGCAGGATTCTATATATGTCCACTGAATAAGCTTATTAATTGGGTTATTATTTGTAGGCCTTCTATTTTCAGTTTCTGAGAGATGTGTGTTAAAAATGCCCATCATTATTGGGGGTTATAATAATTCTATTAGTTTATATCATCATTTGTTTTATATATTTTCCAACCTATATTTTTGGATACATGGCAGCTCAGGATTATTATATTTTTTTGGTATTTGTTCTTTTTTATCATTAAATAATGGTCATTTTAAACAGGTAAATTTAATGTTTACATTTATTAGGATTGCTGGTAGTTGGATTTACTTCTACCATTTTACTTTATGATTTTTATTTACGATATTTTTTTATGTTTCCTATGGGATTGATTTTGCCTCCCCCCACATACGGTGCTTTGGAAGATGTATATTCTCTTTCTCTCAGAGGTCATGCTTACATCTTGAACATGTGACACAACTTACGAAAGCCTGGGGTAATCAGTAGCTCTGTTCTCTCTTCCTCTGTGTTATCTAGTTTATTAGTTTCCCCTGTTTTTTTTGTGTGTATGTTTTTTTTTAAATCTCCCCAACTTAGCCTTCATTATTAGGGTTGTAGATTATCCCATACATAGCACTTCTCTTTCTCTCTGGAATTCAGAACCAATACAGAGAAAGGATTGGGGAGAGAGTCAGGAAAAAGAGATTGGAAATAAAAGTATAATATTAGCTCTCTTCATGTAAGTTGATTGGAGGCAGTAATTTTAGATCTGCGGCCAGATGGGCTTCTGTACTTTGTTCATGAATTAGAGCAACTGAGCCCCGTGCACCGTGAGGCAACAGCAGGCCTCCCTCAGAAGGCTGGCTGCTCACCACCTGGACGTAGACAGACCAGAACCTTCCTTCCCTGGGGACAGGAGCCGAAGGGGAGGGAATAGCAGGGCTGAGCCCGGCATGGAGAGCGCCATGGAGAGCTTTTCCTCTGGGCAGACTCTCCTTCAGGTACAGCTCTTCATTCCTGCCTTTGGGAGGAATGAGGAAGGGTGCGGAGAGAAGGTGAGAGTGTTTTTATAGGATCCCCACTTTCTCCTTGCTGTGGACTTATGAGCGGGAATTGATTGTTCCTCTAACCATTATTGCTATTATTGCTGTTTGGTTAATGTTGTTTTCTATAGTTCCTGCTTGAGGTGAATTTACCACGTACCTACGTTTTAGCTTCAGGGCCTTAACTTACTGGACCCTCCCAAGGCTCTGAAACCAGGAGGAAGCAGCAGCCCAAGAGAGTTAGAGGAATGGAGTCCTGCTAGCCTGGTGTTTTCGTGCTCCCATGGGGGTCTTGGGGCTGTGGGGGAGGAGTGGGCATTGGGCATAGAGCCTCAGCTTCTTCCCCACAGACAAGGACCTGACTTGAGACACTGTTCCTCTCTCCACCTGAGAGCCACATGACCTGGCACACTCCACGGCTGAGAACTGCCCTGGCAAGGTAGGGGTGGGAGGGATACGGGGTGTGGTGAAACCCAGCGACCTTGATCAGCTTGCTGTGACAGTGAGATCAAAGGGCTAGAGGTATCTGAAGACTCCCCCCAATGCCAATAATGTGAAGCTAAAATAAACTTTTCTAAACCATGGCAGATTTTATACTAAAAGAACAAAGTTTGACCAACTGTGTTAGAAGACTAATTTATCTTTTTTAAAAAAATATATATATTTTATTGATTTTTCACAGAGAGGAAGGGAGAGAGATAGAGAGCTAGAAACATCGATGAGAGAGCTACATCGACCAGCTGCCTCCTGCACATCCCCCACCGGGGATGTGCCCGCAACCAATGTACATGCCCTTGACCGGAATCGAACCTGGGACCTTCCAGTCCGCAGGCCGACGCTCTATCCACTGAGCCAAACCGGTTTCGGCCTAATTTATCTTTTTTACTTCTTCATATAGGATGAATTTTAAAAGTTATTTTCATATCAGGAAGTGAGCAAAAAATGTAGGCAATAAAATGTGTTCTAGAGGAGGTGAAATTATAATTAAAATACTTAAAAGAATGTATTATAGTCCTGAATTTTATGAGCTTTTGTAGCATTTAGCTACAATTTAAAATTTTAACCTGTTGTGATTTCTATTTCTATTCAAAGGAAATGTAAACGATTGCACCTCATTTTCTATTAATACTTTTCTTAGAACAGGGTTTCCCAAATTATGAGAATTTTATGTCCCACAAAACATAATCCCCCCCATTTTTTTAATTTTTTGTTCGGTTTTACAAAATTGTTTGCAAATTTCCTTGCTTAATTCTGCTCTTTGTCTCCCACATCTGTTTGCAGGGTCCATTTTTCTTCTTAATCAAGTACACCTTTCAGTCATTCTTCCAGTGAAGGTCTATTAATGGTAAATTCTGGGGTCAGAGGTTAGTCTTCTCTCTTAAAGGAAATTTAGCTGGGTAAAAAAAATTTATTGGGGATTTTCCCCCCTTTCAGCAGTGAGAGTTGTTATTGCACTTCTTGTTGCAGAGAAATGAACTTTTTCCTTTGAAGACAATTGGTCTGGTCTTCCTGTCTTTTCTCTCTGTCTTTTGTGCTCTGTAGTTTCACGCTCATCTACCTAGGTTTGGATTTGTTTTTATTTAATGTTCCAGGACCGGGGTATACTACAAGCTGAGGACTGATGTCCTCTCTCAGTTCTGGGAAAGCGTCCTTCTTTAGCATCCTATCTTTTAAATGGCTTTTAAGGATTCTGAGCAGATATAAAGCAATACCTTAAATATATATGTAAAGTTTAAAGAATAATGGAAAAAACACAAAAAAGAAAAATAGGAAAAGAACAAAAAGGCCAACACCATTACTTTTACTTTCCCCCTATTTCCTTTCCCTTAGAGGCTACTGTTATCCTAACCTTACTATTTTATCATTTCTTCAGTAGTTTCACAAAGTACATACATGGCACTGCATGTTTTAAATGTTGTATCAGTGAACCCAAGGCCGGCTCTTCTCTTCATGTGAAGTTCATACCCCAACTCCCATTCTCTAGGTTAGGGGTGTCGAACTCAATCAGAGAAGGGGCCAAAATCTAAAATCCAGCCTAAATCGCGGGCCGAATGGTTTACTGAACAGTCATAAACTGTCATTGTGATGGAAACGCAGCAGAGTGCAGTGATGACAGCGCGGTGCGGGCCACATTGCAAGGCCTGGCGGGACGGATTTGGCCCGCGGGCCTTGTGTTTGACTCATGTGCTCTAGGTGCTGGTTCCATCAGCCCAGCTCCTAGCTGTAGCTACCATTGCCTTTCCCTTTCCTCCTTCTTGGCTGAATTATCTGTTTTTGAAAACATTATATGTTTCTGTATTAGTAACTTATTTTATCCAAAATATCTATGTGTTTATTGCAGGATGTGAGAGGATCCCCCATGTTGTTAGAACCAGACGTTATAGAAAAAAGTCTTGATTTACACCCAAATATCGATCTACATTTAAATAAATATTCTCCACAGAGTGGGATTACAGATTATTTTAATTTTCTATCAAAGCATTGCTTTTATTGTTTAGACATTATACAATTAATATATAATACTTTTATTATTGGAAAATATTATAAAATAATTTTAATTTTGAAAAGGAAGTTTAATGAAAACTGGGTTAGGGTATCACATTGCCATGTAGTTGAGAGATTATTTTATTCTCCATGGTCTGTGTTAGCAGGGGAAGAGGTCACATAAAGTTCCCAATTATTTTATATTTCAGTTTAGGATGCTTCCCAGTGAAACATTACCAGTTTAGACTAAATTAGGAAAATGAATCTAAGTTAGTCTAAAGAGGTGGTGCTCAATCTTCCTAATGCTGTGACCCTATAATACAGCTCCTCATGTAGTAGTGACCCCAACCATAACATTATTTTCGTTGCTACTTCATAACTGTAATTTTTCTACTGTTATGAATCATAATGTAAATATCTGTGTTTTCCCATGGTCTTAGGCGACCCTGCTAGGGGGTCCTATTCTATATAATAAAAGGGTAATATGCAAATTGACTCTAACAGCAGAACAAACAGAATGACCGCTCAACCAGTCACTATGAGGCGCTCTGACCACTTCTTGGTCTCCCCCCCCCCTACACACACACACACACACACACACACACACACACACCCCTGGCCAGCAGGCTCCGATCGCCCAATGGCAAACGGGGAACTGGGGATGAGTGTCAGTGGTGGGGTGGGACCAGCTGCCGCTGAAGATTGCCCTGTTCCCAGGCCAGGCCTAGGGACCATATCCTCGCACATGCGCCAGGCCTCTGGTGTTGTATAATAAACAGATTACATTAGTTTTATGCTTCTAAATAGAAAAATATTTCCTATTCCCATCTATACTCCTTATTCTTGTATGTACTAGTTACTATTAAATTTAAATATATTTGAATTTGAGTTTGTTGGATTGATAACTTTTAATATGTCAATGGTCTCAATTACTGATGGTATTTGTTTGTTTCTGGATCTATCTGGTGGTGTGTTGCATCTTGGGGTGTGAGAGCATATACATGTGTTTAAGGGAGACTGTTGCGGGGGTGTGTGGAGGGGATCGTGTGCCTCATAATTTTAATTCCCCTTTACTATTTCAATGAATATGTTTACTTCTAGCCTTGTTCCAATTCAAATGATCATTAACTCTAAATTACTGAGGTTCAAATATTGTTTTTCTTTAATAGATTTGCCAGTATTTATGTACTAAAATTTTTTAAATTTGAGGGTTCTATAAAATCCTATTCTAAAGTAGAAGAAAAATAGAAAATATTCCCCACAAATATTGTATCAAAACATCACCCAGCATATTATCTGAACAGTTCCCGTAAGACCCTGTTTCCTTCAGCAAGCCTTCACAGTACATTTTATTAACACAAATTCTGTATAGAACAAAGGACTGCCCATATAACAATATGTGTGAGGCAGTTTCTCACAATGAACTATAAACATCTTTTATAGATGTTACAGTTTTCCTAAGACCTTAGAAGAATTTAAAGTTTGTCTTATTGAAAAAAAGAAAAAAGGAAGAAGGGGAGAGAATAAGGGAGGGAAGAAAAAACAAAAAACGAATAAAGCCTTGCCAAATAAAAATATATTTCTACCAATAATTTGGAATAGCATTTCAGCCTAATGCTATTCCAAATTATTATAGTCCTGAACTAGGGGAAGTAAGGACACGGTTCATACATTGTGGTTTGGGGAGCATGAACGGGCAGCCACAGCGGACCAGAACAGCCTGGCAGCATTGACCCTGGAATGGGACCCAGCCGTTGATTGAGTTGGGCGGAAACTACAGAACCAAATTCAGAGGGGGAACAGGGGGAAGTGCAGCCTTACTCAGGACCAGGAGAGCATGGCCACTGGCCACAGGACATCCCTAAGGTGTGGATTAGCTGGAGACCCCACCCACCCCCTTTAGAGTCAGACATCTGTGTACTGCGTGCATGTGTAAGCAGATCGCTTTACTGTATGTTCTTTCAGGATCCTCCTAGCCATCCTATCCATGCTCTACCTCCTAGGATCGCCGTGAAGGTCAATTGTGAGGAGGCAGGTAGAGCCCTTTGCACAGGTCCTGTCACCCATGCACTGTGGGCTGTCACTGTTTCCACAGTTACTCTGGCACTGGCACTGGCCCGCAGTAATATGGTTCTGTCAGGTGATCTTCTGAAATCTCCACCCACGTCCTGACAGGAGAGGGTTTTGGGACTTTGGGGCTACTCAGGACGTGTTCGAGGAATCCAGATATTTCAGTCACATCGGTACCGTGCTCTGGGGGAGGGGACATTGCCCAGTATCACTCTGGTTGCAGAAGTCATTCATTCATTCATTCATTCAACAAATGTTGATGGAGGACCAGGTCCTAGGTTAGGCCCTGGATATACAAAAATGTGGGGTCGCTTCCTGGAGCATTCAGTCTAGGTGTGGAGACAAGAACACTCACAAAGGTATATAACATGACATGACATGACATGACATGACATAACATAACATAACATAACATAACATAACATAACGTAGTGCTGTCCACGTCCTGGCCGGGTAGCTCAGATAGTTAGAGTGTGTCCCATTCACCAAGGTTGCTGGTTCAAACCCCAGTCAGGCCACATACAAAAATCAACCAATGAATGCATAAGTAAGTGGAACAACAAATCAATGTGGGTGTTTTTTTTTTATTCTTTCTCCTCTCCTTTCCTCTTAATATCAATAAACAAGAAATGAAATAAAATAGTGCTGTCCACATTGGTTTCATAGCTCAGGGTTGCCAGTTCTACTGGGATTGTGGGAACTGTGGGCAGGAGGCTTTATAAAGCGAGTAAGATTGGGCTGAACTTGGAAAGACAGTAGCTTTAGACCAGGTAGTGGGACAGAGCATAGATAGCAACCGGTGTGGAGGCACAGAGCTGTGAGATAGGGCTGGGAAGGAGTTAGAACTGGGATTCATTCGGGACCACATCCCGGAGCAGGCAAGTGGTTAGCTGGGCAGAGCAGGAAGGGGTTGGCAGTTAGGAAAGGACCTGTGCGAAGGGGCAGAGAGAGCAGGCCAAAGTGCATCAGGGCACAGAGGACCAGCTGGAGAAGGCAGGGCGTCGCCTGGCGGCGTGGGTGGCCACGGGGAAGAGGGCCCCGAAGGGAAACGCACAGGAGCACTCAGCACTGGGAGGTGGATGGCAAGGAGGAAGCCAGACTGGGGAAGAGAAAGGAGAGAGGAGAATCTTTGGGCTAGAATGGTCTCAGGGAAGTCAGAGGAAGAGAAAAATAATTTTGAAAGCTAAAGAGCCCTCGGAGCAGCCACCACCTGAGTCCTTTGCCTCCTCTTGTTAATAAGGAAGTGGAAGTCGTCACCAGGTTAAAGATTCCATCATATGTCTTTGAAGCTCCTCTTCCACTCAAGCTCCGAGTCTTCATTGTTTCTTGACATTTAGAAGAACTTTGATGATTGAAATAGATCTCCCCCCTCGGCTTTCATAAGCAGGAATAGAATGGAAACCACAGAACACCACGCCTCAGATTTCAGCATGTGTGTTTCCTAAACATCAGAGCAGAGGGAAGACAAGAGGGCCCTCCTAGAAAGAAGTTCATAGGAAACCCTGGATAAAACTCTTCCAGCGGCCAGGGAGCTCAGAAATCAGAGGAAGGCAGGGATTATAGAATAAAACGGAGGCAGATGGATCAGCTGTCCAGGGAATGTATCCATGGAAGGTCAGCAGGAAAGCTTATTCTAAAGTTATAACCTGAGCCTAACATTTTTATGACTTCCATGTCTCCCATTAGTAAGATGGTCTAGCCTAGTTAACGATAAATGTGTCAGTGGGTAAATTAGAACTTGCAACATTGTTTCTCCAGACCGGAAATGTTTCTTTATAGCAACAGTGTGTCCATCTCTAGAAGTCTCTGTTTTTCTTGTCTTTCCATCACTCCCTCTTCTTCTCCTTCCCCTCCAATTTCTTGTTTCTTTCTTTGTCCTTTTCTTCACTGCACCTACCCTGGATGAGGCAGAGTCTCAAGTCCATGCTGCCACCTGTCCTTGTCACTGCAGCCAAAGGGACTCACGTGGCCCCATGCACAGGGATGGGAGGAGGGCTGGGGGGGTGGGCAGGGGTGTCCAGAGGCCATCAGTTCCTCTCCCTTGTCCCTTCCCTCCAGCCTTAGTATCTGTGTTCTTCTGTCACAGAGGGTTCCTATGACCTCCAAAGTAAACCCTGTCCTATCTGGCCTGGAGCAGCACCCCAGACTGCACATCCCTTGGGCCCGTGCTTTGCTTGATCTGCCAAGGACCCACTGTAACACAGCAATGACAAGTCCTGGGATCTCAGGTACCAGGAACTGGGTGGAGGATCCCAACCCTGAACTGTTAGGATGGAAAGAAAACACTTTTCTTTTTCCTTAAAAAATATTTTTATTGATTTCAGAGAGGAAGGGAGAGGGAGAGAGAAAGACAGAAACATCCAATGAAAGGGAATCATTGATCAGCTATCTTTGCATTCCCCATTCTAGGGAATCCAGCCGTGACCTCCCGGTTCATAGGTCAACCGAGCTACACTGGCTGGCCAGAAAAATCTTTTTAGTATTTAGATAGGTGTTCCTTTCCATACTGTAGGGCTGTGTCCGCGGGGATGATGTGCAGGAAGTGGGACTTGTCCCCAGCATGGCAGCGGCCAGCTCACTGCAGCTTCCTGCTTCAGCTCATCTCTGCGTACTCATCCTCGCCTTCACTCTGCTCCCGCACCAAAGCAGGCCTTCGGGACCGGAACTGGAGTACCATATCCACAATAGGATATAGGTGACGGTGAAAGCTTACGGTATTACTTGTTAGAAGCACATTTGCAGCAACAGGGCTCAAAGTCTTTAGAGAAAGGAATAAATCCCTAACTCTCTCATGGGGAACTTTTAATTAGGCAGCAGGAGAAATATTTGGGGTTGAGTGGAGTACACCTGGTTATCCTGAAATCACAGGACAGACACTTACTTATAAATTAAAACACACACACACACACACACACACACACACACACGCATACACGCACACACATCTCACCTCTCTAATCCCAGGCAGTGTGTTAAATGCTTTACATATGCGCTCTCGTTTAATTCTTATCCCCCTCCCCTGCCCACTCATGCAGGGCAGATATTCAGTGTTGCACATACATCCTGCTACACAACCAAGCTAAGAAAATTGCCCCGATGTGCGGCCTGGACATGTGCACCTGGAGGGGACTCCCAGCCTCGGCCATCAGGAGCCTGGGGGGTAGGAGGCAGCCCCTGTCACATGGCGGGAAGCAGCATCGGCCTGCCTCCTGGGTTGCTTCGCTCAGGAACGTATAGAGCTGAAAAATCCCTTCTCCTAAGTCATCTTTAAAA